CTGCCAGTCCTGACTTAATACAGCTGCTAATGAAAAATGTGTTCTCAGTGTATTTTTGTCATTCATTTTCCCAAGGAATCAATGAGGTCATAGCTTTGGTGTTTTAATATTAGTGCAGTTTCACATGCTGTAGTTCCCAGGTACAAATAAGCATTTAGCAGACTTCTGAAGAAAGCGGGGTAATAAACCTTACAGGATTGCTGTAGCCAACTGTTTCAGAACTTAAATATTTCACAAAAGTAGTGTTTTTGCTAGAGAAGGACAGCATAAACTCTTGTAAATATTTAAATTGTGGCTCATTACCCAGGGCCTAGATTCACTGAAGGACTTGACTGTTGTGGCATCTAAGTTACTGGGGACCAGCACCCTTCGTCACCAAAGTGGAATGCAGTGCAGTGTCCTACCAAATCCTCAGTTTACTGAGCAGCATATGAGATTTAGATGCCTTAGTGGATGATTGAGGGGGAAAAAAACAAAAACACTGAACAGTGGGCTGTCTAGTGAGAGCCACTGCATGATAATGTAGAGAGATATATTTGAAATGCTGTTTCTTGCTCAAAGCTGCAGTGAGGCACCTGGATCCCTTGTGTGGTAAGGTACCTTTCCAAGAACAGAGGGACCTCCCTGTGCTCCTAAAATGAGGACACAGGAGCAGGTGGCACTTGTCTTTTGGGATTGCCTTCACTAATATTAAGCTGTTGAGCTGGGAAATGGAAGACCTAGGTTCTGTTCTCTCCTCAGTGGCAAGATGTTCAATTCAACATCTGGCACTTACCCAGGAGGGCATCTCAGCTATAAATGTCTAGACAGAACTTTTTCCCAACTTTCTCTTGAAGTTGTGCTGCTGTGGAGTGGCGTGAATCTGTAAGCCTGTGGGTTTAGGCAGTTACACTAGGCTTGTTTTCTTGGGTATGGAAATCATGTTCTAGGTAAATTAGAAAGTGTAGAAATGGCCTTTTGCTTCAAACATCAGGCAAGCTCTTGAACTTGCAGGATTAATGCTCTTTTAGGTCATAAGTAAAGCTGTACACCACTCAGTTGTTACCATAGGATCTGTTTTCTTTCAGGTGTTCTCACTGAGGTCTTAATAGACCTGACACTGTTGGTTTGTTAGGAATGCTAGGGTTGGTGCTTGGATGGTATGTGCTGCAGCTTAGCCTTATGCTTGTAGTTCCTATAGGCTTTAAGCAGAAGTTTCTCAATTCTGAGAATGTACGAGAGGAAAAGAAAACTGCAGGGAATTAAGACACTTCGGATCGAAAAGGAGGTGCCTAGTAATATTAGGTGGATGCATGGGGTTTTGTTTGGTTTGGTGATTGGGTTTCTGTTGGTGTTACAATTTCGATGTTAAGTACTGGTGTTCCTTGAGTCTGACACCAAATAGGTTTGTGGTGTTACGGTGCTGCCCTTGATTTTTATTTTTTGGACTTAGGTAGTATCCTTTAAGCAGTACCTCTCAGGCCTGAGCTCTGCTGATTCAGACTGCTTGCAAAAGGCGTTCTGTCTGGAGCCTTAGAGTGTAAGTTTCTCTTGTGATAAATACGGTAGTTCTTGTCCTGTGAGTGGGCTACCATATAGAAGAATACTGTAAAAAGTTTCCTAAAAGATTTCAGGATATGTACAAGCCTGTAGCTCTGCACTCTCTCTCTCCCTTTTTCTCTCTGTCTCTGATTTACAGCATAGCTTTATGAACAGTTGCAGAAACATGGTGAATGCAGTTACTTAAAAGTATGTTATTGAAAATATGAAAACTGTACTATAGAAGCAAGAATGAAAGACTAAGGGAGAGCAGGCATTTTTACTACCTTTGTCACCGTAGAACATTGGATTTTTGTACTGTATCTTTGAATGTAATTGCTTTGTCTGAATCTGATGCCTGACTCAGCAGATTTTATAAATAGGCGTTGCAATTATTGCACCAGGAAGCTTGTGTATTAGTTGATAAAGACTAGCCTTATCGCATTTAAGAAACCCTTGTGTAATGTAGACATTAACCAAGTAGGAATACTGATGCCTTTAAATAAAAAATGGTTCTCCTGATCAACAGATTTAAAAAAGCCCACAAAATAAACCCCAACAAAACTAACAACCAAAAGATCTTTCATGACTTAGGTGTTGCTCTTCTGTCTTACTGGATTGACTGTCACAAGCGGT